CAGGAAATTAATGTGAGTCCACTTTGATTGCATTTGCTGTTATTGCATAGCATCATTACAATCCAGTATCATTGTAGTGTGATCTTATTTCGACATAGTGTGAGACATGACACTTTTCATAAAATGAAAACTCACTATTTTCATACTCTGGTTGAGTATTTTTCTGAAAATTGATCGGTTCTTCGCAAATATAATCAGCAGTTGTCCCCTAAGAACCAGAGTTATTTCGTTCGCGAGATTCTCTTCTTTGGCTTAGAGATGGTGGCATCATAATTCTGTTACCATTTACGTCGATTGAACAAGGGTACATTTCATCTGAATTTGATGATCAGGATTCCTCTGTCAGTCCAGTTTCTGGATAGGAACATCGTAGGCTCAATGGCTTGTGCCGGTTTTGGAGTCTTCGCTTCCATGCTTCAAAAGAAACAGCACCCATAATTCCGAAGATGGTTAGAGGCACCGCTACAAATAAATTTGAGAGGATAATGTCTAATTCTTTAGAGTCGTGTTGTTAGATGCATTTATTTTATGCTTTTCCCACTTTCCGTGGAAATTTTATAAACGAGTCTCCCTTTTTTTTGTATTGGCAAATCAATTCGAGCAGGTGATGTGTTTTCTTGTTAATCCAAATCCCGACGACTGTTTTCTGTCGAGCAGAGAAATTTTTCTTCCGGTTGTTTTTTATATATATATATATATATATATATATATATATATATATATATATATATATATATATATATATAAATGTTGGAGTGCCAATAGAATATAATATAAATTAAAAAAAAGATAAATTTTCGTAGCCGTTGAAAGATAATGGAAACACTTTTATAAAACGCTACAGATCCACAGGTAACATTACTTTTTTGAAACAATCCGAATATGACTAAGTGTATTTTGAAACACTTCCATAGGGATATACGACTACTTCTATACAAGACAGCATGGAGTACAAACAGAAATATACCAACAACAGACCCCTTGAAAATAGCTAAAGAATTAGGCAAAATTTAAAGCAATAACCACAATGGACGGTGCCAATGCGCTCGTTGGTTGGTTGGTTGATTTTGTTAAGAAGCATATCAACGTTGATGGATTACTTTAGTGATTCTCAGTTGCCGTGACGCGGCTCACTAGTGTGCCGCACGATCCTCTTAAGTGTGCTGCGAAATATAGTCACGGCATATATATATATATATATATATATATATATATATATATGTGTGTGTGTGTGTGTGTGTGTGTGTGTGTGTGTGTGTGTGTGTAAGTAGTAATGGTACAGCGTCCATATTTGAATAAATAAGTAAGAATTATTATTTTTTAAATAATTCTTTTCAGTATTCTTCGATGATGTCATTTTAATCATTTTGTTTTTATATTGATTTTTTTTAAAAATAATTTTTATTTTTTTAATTTAACGTTTTAAAATTGTCCTCTATTTGAATAAATGAATATTAATCTTTTTTTCATATAATTGTATTCAACATTCTTTGTTTAAGTCAACATTTTTAAAAAGTTATATTTAGTTAAGAATTAATATTGTCGAAGTTTCTGATATGTAACATTGATCATTTGATTTAATAATTTGCCAAATTTTAAATCTATGGTTTTATTTCATACCATTTAAATGTATACACTTTATAAATTTTGCAAATTTGCCGTGATATTTTACTTTCATCCTAGGTGTGCAGTTGCTTAAAAAAGTTTGTGAAACTCTTTTCTAAGGTTTATTTAATGTGGAAATCGAAATATTTTGAAGATAATTTTATGGCTTCAACTAAATATATAGTAAACATAATCGTATGCCTTTAACTACTGATAAAACGTATTGTTGGCCATTCTATAAAACTACATTTTTATGCTTTCATAATGTTTTGTTTTAGTTTTTGCTATTTGTCCATATTGCTATTTGGGACCTTGACTGGTTCTACCAACCCTGGTCAGGGTGAATCTGGGAATAACAACAATGAAGAGATGATTCCACGCTCCTCAACACCTTCAGTCTCCCGATCAGAGGTCTTGCTGCCGGATGTAGTTTATCGTCATACCGAGGACTGTTACAAACTCGTAGTCTTCATAAAAGAAAAACTGTAAGTATACTAGAAATGCTGAATAAAAAAACAAAATCTACTTTTGTTGCTACATTCGAGGAAACATTTCTAAATGAAGGTCTGCTATCCACACACACACAGAGATATATGTATAACATGAACGCACTCATGTGGATGTATAAGATACAAGATTGATGCTGGCAAGAAATCCCCATTTGATTGACGAAGGAGAAAAATATTTGGATGTTTACTTACATACTTTGAACAGAACTTACATCAAAACATCAGCAAAGATTGAATGCACTTGTTTGTCTATTGAATATCGATTACCTACAAGTATGTTTTTCCAAGAGAGTTGAAAGATTTATAAATGAAATTAAACTTATGACAGACCTCTTACGCGGAATCTCCCGTGCATCTACATACTCACAAGCACCCGGACGTAGCATTACACTCGAACAGCCCCCGCATATATATATATATATATATATATATATATATATATATATATAGACGCCGGCAGCATTTTTTTTATTTGTACAGGATTCCAGGAAAAAAGAAAGGACATAATTTGGCCAATCTCTTTTGTGCGCTATCGACTTTCATAAGCAATTATCAAAAGAACATATGTAGACACACACGCCCGTACTTTTATATATATATATATATATATATATATATATATATATATATATATATATATATATATAAACCCCACCCCACAGACATTTATATATATATATATATATATATATATATATGAAGAAATATACAGACATTTTTTATATATATATATATATATATAGATTTAATATATATATATATTTATATATATATACACACACACACACACATATATAAAATAAATTCTCTTAGTGTGCTTTTATATATATATATATATATATATATCAGGCATGATGATTGTGTCTAGCTTGAAACAGACTGTCGCCTCTAAGTGTTATATTTATATATATATATATATATATATATATATATATATATATATATATATATACATACACACACACACACACACATATATATATATATATATATATATATATATATAAGAAATATATATATGAAGAAATATACTCTTAAGGTGTGCTATATTTATGGGATAAAGTGCTCAGTATCAGAGATAGAGCGGGTGTAAATATATATCAGGCATGATGATTGTGTCTAGCTTGAAACAGAATGTCGCCTCTAAGTATTGACTTCAATGTTCACTTTTATATATATATATATATATATATATATATATATATATATATATATATATATATATATATATATATAGTGCTGGTGCTTGATTTAATTAAGTATACATTAATAAATATACATATTATCCCTCACCGATGACAAAACTCGGAGTTACATGCACAATGCAAATTTCAGGCACTGAATATAGATTGTCACGTAATTTAAATTTTAAAAATATCTAGTTATCGCAATGTTGGCGCAGTTATATATTATAATATATATATTATATATATTATACTGAGGTTGCATTTTTTAAAAAAAATTAGTCATATATTTGGCATTTAATATAAACGTTATATATATATATATATATATATATATATATATATATATATATATATATATATATATATATAGTACAGGTAATCGATCTGTTGTTATATAATTCGGGTGGATCCTCGTAATATTAGTTATTAAAACTGAGCCACAGAGATCTCTACGTATTTATTATAACAGCGAATATGTATTTCTTACGGAAAAAAAATTACCTCATCATAGAGGATAGTCTATTTCAAGCCTGGGGCTGATGATAGCCGGGTACAGAACGGCTTGAAATAGACTATTCTCTATGTTGATGTAATTTTTGTTTTTTGCTGTAATATATATATATATATATATATATATATATATATATATATATGCAGGGTGTCCATACAGTTCGTGTGTACTTTAAAAAATTATAGCTTTATTTGTATTTGCGATAGAAATAATCTGTAAAAAATCTTATAAGGTTTAATGTACCTAGTTTTAATTATAGCGAAAATAACTAATGTGATTTCAGGCATTACTGTAAATCAGTTGGCAAATGTTTCCGTTAACTGCAAAATCGTATTACCCTTTGTATTGCTAATGATGGAGGACATGTGGAAACTTAAATAAAATTTCAATAAAACTATATAGATTTACTTCTTTCTAATCCTTTTTGAAAATTATTTTTATCACAAATACAAATAAAGTTATAAATTTTTTAAAGTGCACACGAACTTTATGGACACCCTGTATATATATATAAATATTTTTTGCATATATATATAACATTTTATATATAATGTTATATATATATATATATATATATATATATATATATATATATATATATATATATATGTGTGTGTGTGTGTGTGTGTAAAAGTATTTTAGAGTTGTGAATATTAATTTTTTATATTAAGTATAAAGCGAGATTATTTTTTCTTAAAGAAAAACAAACCCTAATTTACATTAAAAATTAATCTGATACAACAAACTTGGGCAAATTTTTATGCCAACATGTAACCATCTTTTCATTTCTCTTGTTTAATAAGTTAAGGTTAATTAAGTGTTTTATATTTTCAGTAAGTCATAAATTACATTTATTTCCTTTCCCGTTGTAAGATTTGGCTCTTGCTACAACATCCCATTTGATAAAAGGTTTATTACCATCATTCTTTTATTGTCAAAAGTATTTAGAGAGAGCCATGTTATTTTTGTATTTTATATTGCCTAAAGTTATTCGATGATGGTAGTAACGAAATTTCCAAGGATTTTTAATGGAACCAAAATAAAATTTGGCATCGTTACCTAACTCAGTATACAAGCTTATCACTCATACATTGATGACGGTTTAAGCGTCAGATGATATTTTTTCGGCAGTTGTATTTATTTAAAAAAAAAAAAACAAAAAAAAAATTACTAACGTTGTCTTTGTTGGAAATATGTTTGTCAAAGAAATGACAGTCCGGGAGATGATCCTAATTTGTGGCAACATTACGAAGTACGTGAAAAGGATGTCGCCACTTGACCCAAGCCTTGTGAATGGAATTGGGTAAAAGGAAATATTCGGAAATCGTTCATGTTTGTGCTACTTACAAGTCACCGTGACCGAGGTTTGGAACATACTGGCTTTCTTCAAAATTATTGATCACTTTAGATTATGTGCAATTTCCCAGAAACTATAAATAAGACCTGTCCAACATAATTGCTGTATAAATCGTAAGTGGACTCTGTGGGTGTCGAACAAACACAACGCTCCTGAGAAGGCGCCTGCAAGGTTACCAAGTCGCCGAGCTGGACGGGAATATACAGAAGCGAGCTAGGGACTTCGACGTGGTGAGCAAGCCTGTCTCGATAGATCAATTACGACTGAATAGTGAGTTCGATCTTTACAGGGTTCTCCGTACTTTCTGCCTTGTAATGGTTAGCAAGCTTGTCTCGCTAGAACAATTACGGCTGAGTAGTGTGTTCGATCCTCACTGGGTGCCCGTACTTTCGGTCGTGTGCCACATCCAAGCTACGCTTAGAAAATAATTTGGGCACCTCGAAGGGGTGTAATGGTTAGTAAACTTGCTTCCCTAGAACAATTACGACTGAGTAGTGTGTTTTTGATCCTCACTGGGTGCCCCGTACTTTCGGTCGTGTGCCACATATAAGCAACGTTTAGAAAATAATTTGGGCACCTTGAAGTGGTGTAATGGTTAGCAAGCCTGTCTCGATAGATCAATTACGACTGAATAGTGAGTTCGATCCTCACTGGGTGCTCCGTACTTTCGGCCTTGTGCCACATATTAGCTACGCTTAGAAAATCACCACTTTCGTCCGTGTACCACATCTAAGATATGCTTAGAAAACCATTTGGTCACCTTGTGTCGGTGTAACGGTAAGCCAGCTTGTCTCGCTAGAACAATTACAAATGAATAGAGAGTTCAATCCTCATTAGGTGCTCCGTACTTTCGGCCTTGTGCCACATCTAAGCTACCTTCCGAAAATGACCACTTTCGGCTCTGTGCCACATTTAAGCTACGCTTAGAAAATCATTTATAATGGTTAGCAAGATTGTCTCGCTAGAACAATTACGACTGAGTAGTGAGTTCGATCCTCACTGGGTGCCCCGTATTTTTGGCCGTGTGCCACATCTAAGCTACGCTTAGAAAATAATTTGGGCACCTTGAAGCGGTGTAATGGTTTGCAAACTTGTCTCGCTAGAACTATTACGACTGCGTAGGGAGTTCGATCCTGACTGGGTGCCCCGTACTTTCGACCTTGTACTGATAGCTATTTATTTACTTAGTACACTTGAAAATAATATTTGTCGTTCCAATGTTGACTTTAAGGTAGCTCCTCCACATTTGAAAATTTGGCGAAATGCAATCCTTCGTCTTCCCTGTGACCATGAGCCAGACTTAAATTTATATATAGCTGACCATGCCTTTTCTCATCCTGTAATTATCTACTGAATTATAATGGACAAGTGTAGCACAACATTTCCATTGGCTTCATCGGCATTCATTTTCACCTCTGCGCTGAATGGTCGGTCGGATTTGTCAGATTATGAAAAGTAATAGAAATCAACTTGTGGACATTTATTTGTGAAACTTGTACATCGGTGTTCGTAAAGGTTGCAAGAATAGGACTGCGGTAATAAGTGAAAATTAACAACGCAAAAACCTTTCGACATCCAGGAAGGAGTAGAGGGTGAATGGCTATGAGCAAAAGATGATACACTGTCAAGATACCTGCAATGATCGTGAATAATGTGCCCGTGTTCAAGTTTGCATTTTATTACTTATAATCTATCTATCTATCTATCTATCTATCTATCTATCTATCTCTCTATCTGTCTTCTCCCTATATATCACTTTCTATTCAAATATATCAATTTAACTTCTCTTGTTGTCTTTCTCTCTACATATCACAGTTCATATCTATCTATCTATCTCACACTTTCTGTCTTCTCCGTCTGTCACTTCCTTTTCATAACTATCTACTACCTATTTGAGTCTGTTCATATCTATCTATCTATCTATCTATCTATCTATCTATCTATCTATCTATCTATCTCAGGCTTATCTATCTATCTCAGGCTTATCTATCTATCTATCTATCTATCTATCTATCTATCTATCTATCTCACACTTTCTGTCTTCTTCTATGTCACTTCCTTTTCATAACTATCTACTACCTATTTGAGTCTGTTCATATCTATCTATCTATCTATCTATCTATCTATCTATCTATTTGTCTTCTCCCTATATATTACTTTTTCTATTCATATATATCTATTTATCTTCTCTTGCTGTCTTTCTCTCAACATATCACTTTTTATATCTATCTATCTATCTATCTATCTATCTATCTATCTATCTATCTATCTATCTATTTCTGCATTCGTCTGTCAGTTTTGTTTTATTTTTTGCAAACTGAGAAAAAGTGAAGACAGCTTCATAACAAACAAGTTGACCTACCGGAATCTTCACTCGATAACAATTTGTTGAAGGCACGTTCTTCATTTTAGCCAGTGTTTCTTTTTGTTTTGTTTTTTAAATTTTTTTCCTCTCTCTTTTTTTCCTTTATTTTTCTCGTGTAATTTCCAAGGGAATTACCCACAAAATGACGAAAACATAAATTGTCTTTAAATATTTCATTGGTAATTATCATCCGTTTTTACCTTTAATTTTCTAGCTGTTTTTTTTTTTTTGCTATCCTCTTCTTCGTTAATGTATTGCATCACAGCTAATGAAGCCGTTCTTTTATGACGAAGGACGCCTCATCTTTTTTCTTTCTCTTCCCGCTTCCGCGCCCAGAATTTCGCAATTAATCGAAAATTCTGAATCTTATCGGCTATGACTTGGACAACGTGCCAAGAAATAAATAAGAACGAAAAACAAACAAACAAACAACAAATAAAAAGGGAGGTCACCTTGGCGCAGTTGTAGCGGGTTATTATTTCCAAATGCAGTCAATGTAAGAAGGCAGTTGTCGCCAATTAGGAAAAAAAAAAGGTTGCAATATAATTTTCGTACTTTCTGAAATGTTTTTCCATTAGTTTATTCCTAAAAAAAATACAAAAAAAAAAAAACTTCCATTCTGCAGCTTTTAGTACTTTTTAACCATCACCAATTCGGCAAACTGATTCAATCATTAATCCGGCAAGAATAGGGAGCTGCCATTATTGTTTTGTGCCGCTAATAGCTACATTACTTTCAAACAATGTGTTGTGTCGGAAACCTACCACCCCCTCTTGAAGATGAACTTGTCTGCGTCTGTGAACAAAGACTTTAGTGGCATGTCAGTTGACATGGAAGAAGACAGATAGGCCGAGAGGGTAAGACCTCCGAGTCTAGCTGAGTCGTGATACAGTCTTTCACTGTAAGCGACGTCTGTCGAACTCTCTGCGTTAGCAGAGAGGAACCCGGACGAAACTTTGCCGAAGGGCAAGGTTTCGTCCGGGGATGTTGACAGGGCCTGAACCCGTCTAGGCGGGTTCAAAGGCTATATTTTTGGCCGAGCCTACGGGCTCGGAGATACCCACATTAAACTGGCCTTGTGCCACATTCAATCCTCGTGGGTGGATCGATAAATACAGACAGATGGACATAGAAGTTCTTAGCTGAGCTAGTTATTGACTACACAGGCGATTTCTGTACCTTTTTACCAACCTATTAAAACCCTTTTTATTGTTACGTGTTATTTGGCATTTGTCTCTTCTAACCCCAAATCAGCATCATAACACAATGGTAAGGCATTTCTAATTCTTTTGTGCATTTTTATTAGCTCCAATAATAATTGAATTGAATGTTAGAAGTGATTATAGTCCTGTGAAATGCAAACACCATACGTTGTCTATATTAGATAAGGTTTGGTTTGATTGTATTTCTTTAGCAGCAAGTATGGGTTATTTAATGCCGAAACCTAAACATTTTGTGCCCAATTTTAGCCCTTCAACTACAGATCTTATACACACAATTTTATACCTTTAGTGTAAACGTATGTATTTTAGTTTGTAAATGATAAAATGTATTGTTGGTAATTAAAAAAAAATGTATCGTTGGTAATTTCATTAAAAATGAATTGTTATACTTTTTTTAGTGTTGTATTCATTGTCGTTTTACTATAAAAATGTATTGCTGGTAATTTTACGATAAAAATATGACGTTAATTTTTTTTTTGGTGGGGGTTCACTATTTTCCCATAGCTGGGACCCTGACAAGCGCTATCAAGCTGGAACTGGGAAATAGCAATGAAGAGATGGTTCCGCGCTCTTGAAAATCTGCCATCTTCCGATCAGAGGCCTTGCTGCCGGATGTAGTTTATCGTCATACCCAGGATGCTGGCAGCATATTTTCCCCTATGTCTTCCATTTCTACTATTGTCGAAGGTGATAACTTGTAGAATGGCTCTACACGTTGACTCCCATGATGCGTCAATAAAATTCGAATGTAGAATTTAATTGAACAATGATGAATGAAGTGGTGATTTTCTAAAGCGAAGCTTAGATATGGCACAAGGTCGAAAGTGTAGAGCACCCAGTTAGTGTAAGTGCTCAATGATTTTCTAAGGCCAAAAGCATGGGACACCCAGTGGGGAATGAACTCATTGCTCAGTCGTAATTGTTCTAGCGAGACAATCTTGCTAAACATTACACCACATCGAAGTGCCTAATAGATTCATTTTCTCAGCGTAGCTTCGATGTGGCACAAAGCCGAAAGTATGGGGCACACAATGAGGATCGAACTCACTACTCAGCCGTAATTATTTTAGCGAGACAAGCTTGCTAACCATTTGTCATACCTGAACGTACCTATTCTATTATTAATAGACTCTCCCACATATAATAAGTAGTAGTAGTAGTAGTAGTAGTAGTAGTAGTAGTAGCAGCGGTCGCCAGTTGAGCTCAGTGGTGTTGAGTGAGTCAGTCGATGTCGGACATTGAAGTATCAACCATCACAACGAGATTGCTGCGTCATTAACTCTTATTTCAAGTTCCTAACGTTTTGTACATCGGACCTTTTTTAGGAACGACTTAGCGAAATACAAGCCTCCACTGTGAAAACTACTCTACAACACCATTACACCACACCGAGGTGTCCCAAATGATTTCTCAGCTTAGCTTAGATGTGGCACAAGGATGAACGAATGGGACATTCGGTGAGGATTGAACCCACTACTCAGATGTAATGGTTTTGGCAACCTTGTCTCGCTAACCATTACACCATATCGAAGTGCTCAATATAGTTATTTTCCCAGGCCGAAAATATGGGGCACCCAGTGAGGATCGAACTCACTACCCAGCCGTAATTGTTTTACTGAGACAAGCTTGCTAACCATTACACCACCTCGGAATGCCCAATGATTTTCTAAGTGTAACTTTGATGTGGCACAAGGCCGAAAGTGTAGAGCACACAGTGAGAATCGAACTCACCATTCAGTCATAATTGGTCTAGCGAGACGAGTTTGCTAACCATTAGTGTTAGTGCTCACTGATTTTTTTAAGCTTGAGGTTGTGGCGTAACCAGTAAAAATCGAACTCACTATTCAGTCGTAATTGATCTAGCGAGACGAACTTGCTCAACATTTCACCATATTTCACTCAACGATTATTCAAGTGTGTAAAATAAACGAAGGAATGAAAATTTAAATCATGAGGATGAATTTGTTTGGCCTTGAAAATTATTGTGTCACCTATGATGGCATCAGAGTTTTATTACGCCCAGACACTATTGTCCCGACTGTCGATTCGTTGTCCTACGGCCATTGACTGGCTGGACGTTACTCAAAGGAAGCGTACGAAAATTTGTAACGCTCCACGAATACACTGGCAAGCCTTATCAGTGAGCAAATCAAAGTACAGACTGACCCGGGATCTCTTCCGATTTAAATCCAATCGAGACTCTGTGGACAATCTGCAAAGAAAGACTTCGTGGAATAGACATACGAAATACTAACATGTGCAATGTGTCATGTTCCATTGGAAAAATACGAAAAAAGTAAATAATAATGGTATTATTCGTTTTGTTTCAATTAATTTGCACAAGGGTGTCCATGTAATGTTCTTATGAAAATACGTGAGAGTTACATCTGAAAAGAGTTTTTCTCTATGGTAAAATTATTAGCTATTGTGGTGTTTGAATTACTTCAAACGTCACTTTTATTGAATACCCGTATATGAGTCGAAAGTCTCTGTTTTTAAACGTTCTAACCATGAGACACAGTTTCGAATGTCACCATGGTCACTTTTGACTTTACTGAGCACGAAACACCTGGTAAGTAATCAACGAACGAAGGGGTTGCTGTGACGATCGCTAACAAAAAATGGCGGCAACGTAGGCTACAGGGGAACCCACATCAGGCGGTCGTAAGCAGAAGTTCTCGTCCTCTTCGTATTCCATTAGGGAGAAGGAAGTTCCACTCGGACAGCCTTCTGCCCACGAACCGCTACTTTGTGTAACTGGCTCCCGAGATGATAATTTCCCAACCACTAGAATCTTAACCTCTTCAATTTTACGGTTCACCGTTATCTTTCTCACATGTCCTCATCGACTGCACATATATTTCAGTAGGTCTCTATCTCGGCTGGCTCTTGGGCTTTGTATGAGTGAACATTAGAATAGAAAAAAGTGAGGTAATCCCGCACTTGATACGTGCTAAATCATTATTAACTTACCACCTGCAACAAATCTTTCATCTAATACATATACAAAATAATTAACACACATAAAAAAATACCTAAATACATTTACTCAAACACTGATTAATGACAAAATAAAAACGCTTTGCCGTAAACCAATTTCGAGATTATTTGTTTATTCAAATTTTCCTCGGCGTGGTGTAATGGTTAACAATCTGGTTGCCGCTCTCTTTTCGTGTACATCCCAATTTCTCTGAATTAGTGTTTCTCAACCGGTTCGCCCGGACGCACTAATGCACCCTTAAAGGTAAACCAGATGCACCCCAAGTTAAAAAGCTGGAGTCTTTGCCATATGATATTTTAAAGTGAATACTAAATTCTCTAATCTTTAAGAAGAAGTGGATAATCCTGTCCCCTTTTGTCTTCCTCGATGGATTTAAATCAGTCATAAAAAGAAACAAAAATAGCTGATTCTTCATAAATCCATTTATATGAAAACTATACCGTTTAAATATACGATGTAACGTCTAAAGATAAATAACTTTCAGGAAACTTCTTTAATATTTTCAGATTTCATGATTTATATTTTCTTCAATATCTGTCTATAATTCGGTTATCCTCATATTTGTTGCATATTCACGACGTTGTACGCTCCGGCCTTCTTCAGGATCTGTCTCTATTTCTGAGATGAGGTATTGTAATTATTTACATTATTTACATTGTTCGGACTGTTGCCATCCTCTTTGTTGCCATATTCACGCTGTTTCGGTTGTTGTACAGCCCGGCATCCGTAGTTCAATACACGG